GGTGCCACATAAAAGACTTGTTAAAAAGATCTCTGTAGGTGTGGAGGATATGTTGGCTCATTGGATAGAAAATGGCTGGATGGAAGAAACCAGAGAGTTGTTAGTAAATGGAATTCAACCAAACTGGATTAATTTCACAAGTGGGGTACCTCAGAGCTTAGTGTTAGGATCTTTTTTTGGGGGTACATTAATGAAGGAATGGTCAATAAATTACTTACATTTGCTGATGATATTGCTTGTGGAAGGGCAAGTAAGCTTTTAGGTTGTATCTGTGGAAATATCAAATACAAGTCAAAAGAGGTTATAGTTTCATTTTATAGGTTACTAGTTTGGCCACATTTGGAGTTTTGAGCTTATTACCTTTGGAGAGATGTTGAATTGTTATAAAGGGTTCAAAGATGATATCTGGGACAGAAAGGCTGGCATACAAAGACAGGTTAAAATTTCTGAAAGTATTTTCTTTTGAAAAGAAAAAGAAGAGTCAGTAGGGATCTGATTGAGGTGTTTAAGATTCTTATTGGAATTGATAATATATATATGCATATTTTTTTTCATACTTAATGGTGAGGGTAGGACGATAGTATAAATTTTGGCAGTGTAGGAGTCATATTCAGTTAAGATAGTTTTTCTAACAGGATAGTTGGCCTATGGAATGGGTTGCCTTCAGATGTGGTGAATGCAGTGAATTTAAAGGAACTTAAGGGAAGGCATGAGAAGTATTTGAAAGATAAGGGATAGCTTGAAGTGTTGTATTTTCATTCTGTTTAGTGGATGAGATGGCCTAGATTGACCAAAAGGTCCCTTTGGTCTCCACATCATATGTTAAATTTTATTAACTTTGCTTCCACCAACAGACCACTGCTTCAATTAGTTGAGTGACTTATTCACACTATGCCTACTTCCCCTTTTCAATCATGCTGTTGAGTGGATTCCCATTTATATGGAATGTCTGATCTAAATTATAATAAACTTAGATCCATTACTTTGCAATTTTTAGACCTAAAGCACATTTTCCAACTATTTACGTAACTTACCAATTGATCCAAGTCATTTTATAGTATGTGAACATTCTCAATACAGCTAGAAATATCCAGGAGCTTAATTGGATCATAGGGAGGTTGGATAGAAGAAAGCAAAAAATTGCTATTAATGAAATCCAGTCAAACTTGACCGTGTTACTGGTGGTGTGCCTCAGGGTTTTCAGTGTGTGGGTTGCTGCTCATTCTTTTTGCATTAATAATATTGTTATGTCTCCGTTCGTTAGTTGATTTTCCATAATATCGTTCCGACGAAACTTTAGTGACACGAGTCCTTTCTTAATAAAACTGGTTTATTCTTTCCGAATACAACTTTACGATACACTTAATTTCAACAGTCGCACTATAACAAACGCTATATCTCACGTGGCCAACAATATTTTGTTCACATACATTCAATTACTCATTACACTGTTCCCGTCACGTTGTGAGCATCTTACATATATACCAGACTAACACATATCTAGTAAATGTTAGGGCATTCTTGAAGGAACAGGATATTTCTAGAAATACGTGGCGTGATACTAGTCACGTGACCTCGCTGACGCAACACTGCCCCCTCCTTAGTATTGTTCATCCCGAACAATAGCCACTTGCATTAAACCAATAACAATTAACAATAACTTAATTAAATGTACAAAATTACAAACACAAAATTACAATTCAACAAAGTCTCTTAATTTTATGGGACGTATCTTCTTCCGTACTGGTCTCCGTTTCGTTGGCTTCTGCTTCTTATGGGGTTCATCTGCTTCATTAGGAAATGTTCTATCGTCGATAACAGTCACATCAGTGGTAGTAACTTCATCAAGAGCTTCACTGTTTCCCTTCTCAAAACTGAGTAGAGTTTCTTCTTTGACGGTGGCTTCTTCAGGTGGCACGTCTTCACCAGCGTCATTTGTTCTGTTGTTCACTTCATCCCAACTGAAATGTCCTGGACCATGATAACAACAAAGCCTGTTGGCATGCACCACTTTTGGCTTACCTCGCCGACCACATTTTATCCGGAAAGTCACGTCTGAGAGAAGATCCACTATGTCATATGGGCCTTCCCATGGAGAAGACAACTTAGGAGACTTCCCTTTGGTCTTCCTGGGATTATACAACCATACCTTGTCTCCGGGTACAAAGCTGACTTCAGTAGATCTCTTATCATAAGTTAACTTCATTGAATTAGCAGACGTTTTCAAGTTTGAACGCACTTGATGATGGATATCATCCATCCTTTCCGATAACACTTTCACAAACTCTGACACATTCTCAGGCAACTCTTCATAAGGTGGGCGTCCTGTTAACAGATCCACTAGCAACCAAAGTTCCCAACCAAACATCAACTTTGCTGGAGGGTATCCAGTGGTTTCATGCTCTGCTGTCCTATAGGCCATCAACAGTGGAGGGAGTAAGACATCCCAGTCATCTTGTGTGGGTTGCTGCTCATTCTTTTTGCATTAATAATATCAATAGGGACATAATTAGTAAACTTGTAGAATTTGCTGATGTCATTAACTATTCTTTCTTCAGTCCCTACTGATGTGATTTTCTTAGGTAATCATTTGTGTGACACCTTATCAAAAACCTTCACAAGTATACTAAGTTCACACCCTTTCCTTCATCCAGATGTTAGGAATTAAGTTACCATTACCTCTTCCTTTAGATGCAGACATTTGTTGGCTAAGTCATTATATGACATATGTTATGTTTATCATATTATTACACCCTTATACACTCACACATAACTTCTATTAATGATAAGATACAACTTTCCGACTTGCATTTTGTGCAATCATCTTGTCTAAGTGTATGATGTGACTTAGCAGTCACATAATATTGGATGTACAAAGTGTTTATTGTTGATAGGTTTGTGACATAGAGTTGTGTTAATTATTGTAAATTTGTGACACCAGAATATGCTGAACTCTGTTATATAAATTTATATAGGAGGGAGTTAGTAGCTTTTTTCCTTTAGTATTGCTTGTACAGGCCATGTAGGTTTCAATCTACTGCTACTACAGTTAGAATATGATTGTTTTGGCCACTTAGTATGTGAATGTCACCTGTCTAGCATTTATGGGTAGTCCTTTGTCTTTATATGTAATAAGCAGTTAACAGAAATACTCTTGTCTTCATCGAGTTAGAGCTATTGTAATGGTGTAATAAATGTTGAATATTTAATATCATAATTATATACATGATGTGTTAGCCTGTGAGATAGTTCATCACAATTTCTATACAGAGTCAGTGAAATTAGCAGAGAGATAATGAATTCCATGAGACTAATATTGGTGGACATTAAAAAAAGCACTTAAAAAGTATCTTAAAGTTTAAAAAGCAAAAAAATAATGATGTACAGAATAGGTATCTGTGTTGTTAAAGAGGCTTCATTATTTTAATTACTATATTTAATATAGGCTTTAATATAATTATCTAATTACTGTTCTGAATTGTTTTAGAATTCAAATATACATATATTTAAATGTATGTACTTGTAGAATTACAGTATAAATAGTGTTGTAGACAAAGGCTTGAATTTATATTCTGTATTGACATCTTAATTATAGTATATTAGGTGGGACTTTTAAGACTAAAGACATTGAGAAATATATGTTAATCAACTGAGAAAAAATTTAATACAAATCCTGATGGTTTCTTGTATAAATCAAGTGAATTATGATATAGGTATGTATATATTGCTGCTTCATTCTTGTGGAATTTGATAATTATAACTGTACAAGAGACCAGATTATTAAGATAAAGACAAATTTATATTCCAGTGGTCTTACAGTTTGTATCTGTAATATAAAAAAAATGTATTGATTGATCATTTGGTAGATTGTGGTATATATATATAACTTATAGCTATGTTTGTATTGTCTCTGTGTGTGTAATACTAAGATGTAATTGTCAGTAGAACTTGTCTTTTTTTTTATAAGGCAGGGATTGTTTTGCTTGTTTTACATTAATAATTAAACTAACTTTTTCAGGAGCTTTATTGTATCAGAACAAGAGCTGGGTGATTAACATAGTTTATAGATCAAATTTTTAAATTATCCAAGTTTTAATTTTTTAGTTTCAAAAGGAAATATTAAAAAAAATCACTATCTTTTCTTTGTTATATGCCACATTTGTGTTATCAATTCTCTACTTTGTATGTTAAAATTTTCTTTCTCTGGAAATGTATTTTCAGTAGGTACTTACCTCCTCTCACCCAAAGCTACCTTTATCTTGGTCTGCCTTTTAAGCATTGCTAAAAAAACTTTTGCTACAGCACACCAGTATCTATTACCCCATCAGTTTTGCACTATTTTGGAACATGTGCTGATAATGTGACTACTCTCCACTAATTGTACTGTGCCATCTATACTGGCACAGCTAGCTTCCTATACAATTCTAGAACAATCCTCACTTTCAAGAATTGGCAGGCATTCTTACTCTGAAAATGTATTTCTGATAGGTCCTTCTTCCCACTGAGATGCTGGTGCCAGCGTTTGTGCTTGATGTTAACTTTTGAAAAAGTAACTACCTTTTCTCACTTAAAGCTAGGATCTTACATTGCCAAGGTGGAGGGACCAGTGAAGGTGATTCGATGATTGTTAATTTGATTATTTCAGCAATTCAATGTATTGAAATATTGCATTTATGTTTGTTTGTTGTGCTCTGACCATTCTGGGTATCTAAACCTGGTTTGTAGTATTATCACTTGTTTTATTCTCCTACCTTGTGAGAACAGTTGATTAATTGAATGTAATCGATTAATGAGCCCAAAGATCAATTGATTATCAAATTCCACTAATCAGTACATCAAGATGGTAAAGTATATTTAACACGATTTAAGGAACTTTAGTGATTAATGCTTCAAAGCTGTTTGTAGTTGATTGTGTGTAATACTATAAAAGAAAATTTAGTAGAATTTTTGTGTGTGTCTGAAAATTGTACTTCTTTTACATTTGTAACTTACTTTTCCAGGTACTTCATTGCTTCACTACTTGAGAAAATGAAGTCTGTCTATTCAGAAGCAATCCTTGGAATCTTAATTATTAGTACTTTGGAGCTAATGGCAGTTCATTTGGATCCTTATCCGTATTTGTCCCACATGAAAAGAGGCACGTTGCAAGATAAAATTAAAAGGTAATATTTTGTTAACTGCCTATTTTTCTGATCTTCAAACTGATTGTAGAAAAAAAAAAACTGCATCATTTCCATTTGCTGTGGAATTCAAGTAAAATTTGTGGCAGTGTAACTTGGTCAGTTTTATCATTGAGAACATTAAAATTACTAAATACTTTAATAATTAACTACATCATTAATTTCTTGTGATATGGTACAATTATAAACTTCTATTTTATTTCTATAAAAAAAAAAATCATTATAAGTATTGTTGTGGGGATGGATTCAAGTGTGATTCAGGTTGTATTTGCTTTGATCATTCGTTTGATATTATTTGTCCAAAAAGAATCCTGTATTACCTCAATATTTAGATTCAGGACAATGGCAAAGGATGCGTCAGTTCAGATAGATCCTAATGTCATATTTTGTAGCAACATTGGACTGTTTAGAATGTAGTACTAGTATAGAAGTATGACATTTCAGCTATCTTGAGGGTCCCAGTTTAGGAAAGAATTAGAACATGTAGTTATTACATTACTGATTGAGGGGTATTGTATGTTATTTCTTTACTGCAATAAAGCTGCAAAAGTTGGTAGTTATTACATTACTGATTGAGGGGTATTGTATGTTATTTCTTTACTGCAATAAAGCTGCAAAAGTTGTATCATTTTGAATAAATTTTATAATTTAAAGCTACATATTCTCTCTATCTGATTAATTAAATTTTGGGGTGTAATGATATCTTTAAATGTACTTGTTTCTAAGATATGTATTTCACTTGATTGAAAATGTTCTCTGATGTGGTTCTTATTTTTATTTGAAGCAAATTAGATAAGTTCTTCAATAGACTGTTGGCTCCAGAATCAAGCACAAGATTCACAGTGCCTGAAAGTCTCAAAGATGAGAAACATGGAATTAAAATGGGAATAGCCAGTTCTCTTTGTGATGATGGAAAGGTAAAAAAAATAAGTCCTGAAATTTTTACACTTTCATCCACTAAAAGTCCTGTATAACTTGTATGAAGGTTGGAAAGCTTATCTATTGAATATTTATACACAAGATATAAGACTTTTATGTTATGTATTTTGTCTTACCCACCATCAACCCCCAAGTTGAATAAAAATGGGGCCTGGTTAACTAATGAATGAATATTTGGCTGTATTTTGATTGGATATCATGACAAGCATGGGAAAGGAAGATCAACTGCATGCATACAGACAAAACAGCAAAATAGGGGAGTAAAAACTCCCACTGCACATTTTAAAGAATCTGGTTGGTTCTATAAAGTATCGGTCTGTTCCAAATAATAGGGTTGCAATCCTAAAGCTAATGTTTGTTGCTATCAATTGTCACTTTCTTACTTGCTGTGGTTTGTTGATGTGTATTAACAAAAAGTAATGATATGTAATCAAAAACACATTGCGTGAACAAAAGGTGTGGCCAAAAAAGGATTGAGCATGAGACATAAAGGAATGAAATCAAAATTAGCAGTCAAATTGTTAGCTACACTTATAGCATTGATAATAATTTTACAGTTAATATTCATTCAAAAATGCCAAGAGTGAGTGAGAATTTTACAGCAGATATTCATATATTAGTTACCTAGGCCAAATAGTGTTAATTAATAGCTTGCTAAATTAGGGACGGCTAGTGCAGAGAGCCCTCATGTAGCTTTGCGCAAAATTCAAAACAAACAAACAGCTGTTGTGTAAGTCCTTTATAGTAACTCCATGGAATCTAGATTAACAGTTTCTTGTCATCACCTGTTTTCACTTGGTACGACTGTATGAAGCATCATAATTTACACTAACTGCTTATTAAGCTAATATCACGTGATGCTAAAAGCTCTTTAATTAGAAGAATTTCATAAAAAATTTAGCAAATTTATGCTTGTAAGTAGGTAATGAATAATAACCATCCACCCATATGATTCTTTTGAAAACTTGAGCTAGAAACTGATAATCTAGTTTGCTTGGCTAAACCAATACTTATGTATCTGCACATCCTATAGTTTTGCTGCTCTAAATCAGCCATCTTTAATCCAAATGATCAAAAACTAAAAAGAGTCCACTTTTACTCTTAGATGAGCTGCAGTAAAAACTTTAGACTGATAACTCGTGATTTTTTGTGTAGGCACGCACAAAAATATTAGTCAGATTTGAGCGATTTTATTTTAATAACTTTGCACGTATGGCTTATATTTAGACCAAATTTGACAACTAAATGTACGCCGTAAATTTCCACCAGTGTACCAAATTTGAAAAAAAATCCATAAAAGTTAAGTATGTTTTTCTATCAAATAAAGTGTCTGTACTTTCGGTGTGAAAAAAAAAGGAAAAAATTCAATCAAAATTGGAGAATTTATATCTTGTGTATTTGTTAGTGGATTGCCTTGAAATTTGGTATGTGAAGTAAGGGTCCAGTAGAGTACATCCAATGAAAATATGTGATAGTTTGGATTATTACAGTTCAAGCTACAGAAAGTGAAAAATTGCTAAACCATAACTCCTATTAATAACACACAGTGTGTCCTGCAGGTTGTTTTGACTGCACGACACACTACCACTTGTCTCGATAATGCTGCATTCTTTGAGAAGAAAAACATTTTTATATATTTAACAGTTTTAATAATAATCATTGATCTCTTGATTATTGACAAATCAATTAGATTCCACATTTTTTAGTTGCTAAAGAAAGGAATTCAGTGACAAAATGCTTAAAATAAGGACTGCTTCATATACATTTCAAAATGGGCAAATTGAACTTTCTGATTGAACTGTGCAGTAATTTAAAGTATGCGTGTGTATAGTAAGATGACAATGATTATGGAAAATATGTAGTTCATTATCTTCTCATTAAACATGCTTATGACTAATATTTTCCTTAACACACCAAATTTTTAAAAGTGTTGTCAGTGGATACAGTCAACTCGGATAGTTTGTTGCAATGTGTCTATAAGGCTTTTATTAATCATGGTAATATTAGTGGCAGAGAATATTAAGAAGAAATAGTAAGAATTTAAGAGAACTTTTTGTTTGTCCTATCCGCTTGTCATTTTTGGAGGTTAACACTATGTGCATAGTGTAGGTCCACTGTGAAGCTATACATAGTAATATACTATAATTTTGTATACCTTATCTGTTATTTGCCCTACCCTAACATTAACTGGAGCAAAATCACAATGTATAGCTAATGGAAAAGCTGAAAAATATGAAATAAAATAAATAGTACCATTTTTTTTTTCTAGAATGACTGCAGATCGTAACAGACAATTACAGTTACTTATCTTACTTTTAACTTCAAAATTTTTCACGTCTGCTTTCTTTTAACTTTATTGCTATACTTTTGAAGCCTATCTTTTGCATGAAAAGCAGTACAACACAGAGGGATGTTTTTGGTAGAGCTTAAAGCAAGCAATCAGGTTACAGCCACACACATATCTTGAGCTTCAGTTATGAATCAACTGAGCTTGTGAATTTAAAATTGAATCCAAGTTTTGTTACCTAATCTAAGAACTTTCTGGTTTCTACATTTTTAGTTATTTCTGTTATATCTGATAATAAATAAAAAATATACATAAAGCAAATTTAGAACTTATTCTGCATTCATGCCTTTTGCTCTCAATGCTTTGCCACAATAGCCCATTTTTTTTTCATTAAGCTAGTTGTTTGAATTAAATGCATTTAGCTTTCAAATATGCATTTTAGAATATAAAAATATATCAGACACTAAAACAGAATGTTCCAAGACTACCATAATTTAACTGGCTTTCTAATTAAGCTATAGATATGTTTAAAAAATTCCTTAGCTGCTTCAAGCTGAACAACAACAATAGTGACAGACAAAGAATATAAGGTCAAATGTGTACCTATGCCTACCAAAAAGAAATAACCATAATAAAGTTTTTGCAGAGGAGAAAATGCACTTTCTTTTGGCTGTAAACATGTCCATCATCATGTACAGAAGATAATATATATATACATATAACTGTTGGTGGATTTGACAAATTTATTGATATCTAGCAAATTGAGAAAGTAGGAGGAGGTTTACATTTTGTATTCTAGCTTGTCAATATCTATAGTTTGTGTTTGTAATTGTTTGTACACTAAAACTCATAATAGGGAAAGAACACTTATAAGGGAGAATTCAGTGTGCAAATGCATCACGTGATGTAGAGAAGTGAAGATTGAGAATTTATTTAAGTATTTTGTTTTGAAATTAATGAATTAAAACTTAGATGATAAAACGAAAGTTGAATTGTAAACTAAATTTGGATATGAAGTTTATTGATATACATTGATAACAAAATTGTTTAAATCAATTTTGAATGTAACTGTAAAAGACTGTGATGTGTAAACTTTGACCAAGTTGAGTGGATAGGGTTAAAGGAAATTTTAAAATTGAGTGCATAGGGATAAAGGAAATTTTAGTGGCAGCTTTAACTAATACCCGTCTGTAATCTCTGTGTGATGCACATGTTTGTACTAGTTATAATAAAGAAATGGTTACATTCACTATAAAAAAATAATTATTAATATTTTTGCCAAATAACATCCATCAGGACCCCTTGAAGGTCATTTGGCTCAAACATTAGCCACCTAATTCCTTTTTCTTACGGTGATTTGAACTATTGCTTTATATTTTCAAAACATGGCAGCATGTTGTGGAGAACCGTTCATTCAGCCATACAGCTCATGTGGGATTCAGCCACAATTATAATAAGTTAATGGTGTTTTGTATCATAAACTTATCATTATTAGAAATAAATGTGCGAATTAACTCATTTTCGATATCCTGACTCATGTTTCAAAAGTTGAGTCGATACATACGTAGAGGGTTTTTGTGAGCTATCATCTATTTGAAGTTTGCAGAGGTAAGTACTATCACAGTATTTAACATGTATCTAGTTCAGCAGTAAGGTTAATGACTTATAATGCTAAAAATAATGGTCTGATACCCACGGTGGGCAGAGCATAGACAGTCCATCGTGTATATTTGTGTTTAAGAACAAACAAAATTTGAGTGTTATTAATACAGTTATATGAACCAAGAGCATCAGCTGGAAATCTTACAGTTTTGTACGTTTACGTTGTAAATCAAACAGTAGGACAGAAACATGTAAGCCTATTCTTACCACAATTTCTATGGC